ATATTTTCTCTAATTTGAATTTCAATCTTTCTCTCTGTAAATACAAATTTACATTGAAAATTAATTCACTCTATATATTTCACAAAATAAATTCATTTATAAAGCTAACTTGTTCTGCTTCATGCTCCTTCACGTCCTGCAAGTACTTATTCATATTAATCTGATCCTGTTTCTCACTTTCAAATTCCTCCAGTTCCTTTGCTGCCCTAGCATTTCCAATTTCTTCAATTCTAAAAACCAATAAAAAAAATCGTTCTCTCCTACAGCAATATAGTATTCCATTGATACACATACACAAGCTTACTGTTTCTTCAACTCGAGACCATAATTCTTTCGTTTCTCTAATCGTTGCTCTGCTTTCTGTTTCATTTCTTCCTCGTACCGTTTCACATCCGCTTTCAATAAATCTACGTACGCCACTTCCGCCTCTTTATCTAAGCTTTTAATAGTCTCTCGAAATTTTAATTGAGCGTCCAGTTCTCTGAAACACTGTCGAAATCACGAACTATCACGATTCTCGTATTATTTGCGATATCATTACTCATCCTGACTCTTCTAATCTTCTAAAATACCTCGGAAATTAGAAGACCTTGATTAATTCGCCTGCACATCGGTTTCCTGTAAAGAATCAATCTCTTCGCCTGCTTTATTATCTCTTCTCTTTCTGCTGCTTTCCTTTCAGCAGCTTCTTTCACGAATCGCTCTCTTTCTTCTTCTGCTTGCTTCTCCTTTGCCAATCGTTCCTCTCTTCTTTTCCTTTTAATATCCTATCACAGTTGCATGCAACAAAATATATAGCATTTCAGTTAAAGAAATTTGTAGAAGTGATACTTAAACGCTTGGTAAAAAAAAAGTTTCTTCTGAAGGTATAGTTTTAATAATTTATTCAAATAATGAAACAGTTTATCTGAAAGAAGTATGAAAGCTCCGTTAAGTAAATGAGATTAAACTGAAGTGACATGAAATAAACGACGAATTAAATTAAGCTGATGTGATATTAAATAAGTAAAAAGTAAAAATAAGAAGTATTGTACAAATTGTATTTGAAAAATGTAAAAATACCTCTAAGAGAGAAATTACTACTTTTTCTTCTTTAGGTGCTTCCGCTTCACCTTTCTCCAATTCTGCGCTCTGAGCTTCTTTTTTCTCTCCACAGGAAGTGACTTCATGTTTGGTTTGCTGAGAATCTTCGGGTGTCTCTATTTCCACGCTACTTTTCGATATCTGAAATGAAAGTTCTGCGTGAAGGTGAAAAATTAATTTATTTAAAAATCACGAAGAATATGAATTTTTGTAATTTTACTGAAAGTACTTTAGTTGAAGTAATAAATTTAATTAGACTAGAAAATGAATGATTTAATTATTGGAAGTTCTGCGTGAAAGTGGAAAGTTAATTAAAAATCAGGAGGAAAATGTATTTTTGTAATTTTGTTAGAAATGTGAAAAATTTAATTGGTCCAGAATATAAATGATTTAATTATAGAAAATTCGTGTACTTTGACATTGTTCAATGGTTTCCTTTTCTTCTGACGAGATGCAGTAGGGATCGTACGATTTACTACTCGATTTTGCACCATAATTATAATTTTCTAAGAAGAATGTGTTATTATTTCGCAACAGAGAGATAAACTAGTGTGGTTAACATAAGTTGCACGATTTCTTCCTGCACTGATGTTGCGGATAACTTTAGACAACGCATTGGTTGTCCTGGAAACTGGATTCGAGGCGATCAATAAAGTTCACGGAATAAAATCTTGATCGTTTAAAAAAAAAAAGAGGATGAAAAGAAATATTTCGTTAATTCTATAACGAAATTCTTTAATATATTTATTACTTACTTATGTACAAATTAAAAGTTATAACATGTTAAAGATAAACAAGAATTTTTTTCTATAAGTTTTTAAATAATTAAAATGAAACAAAGTTAAATAATGTACATGTTATATTTTCTCTAAGTAAACATTCTTTTTTAACATAATTACAAGAATATGCAACAAAGTAGAGTAGAATTTCACTATTTATTGCAATTTATTATAGCAATAGTAATAAATTTATACGTGCAATAATTTTACTTATTTATCGGTGGAATATGCCGTATGGTAATTAAATTCTGATGCTGTGTCAGTGTTTGTAGATCGATATTCTCATTTTTATTTTCACAAATCATTATTGACGAATTTCGTGTACCATCGCATGCATCGATGCATGAAATATGACGTTGTAGGTAAAAAAGATAAATACGTTGCGTATAAAATTGAATAAAGAATGATTCATGTAACATGATATTTAAAATAGCGTACTTTTAACACAGACGAGATATAGACTTTTTATACCTCGTCTACATTTATGATTTTCTATGTTTGAAAACTGCAATACCGATATAGCGGGTGCTTTATTGATAATGCAGTGCATCTAAGTCGAATGCAACGCACTCTGGTTACGAGAGCGAAGCAATTCCAGGTTTATCGAAATGATATGGCAACGAATTTGCAGAAATTAGTAACGTTAATTATCGTCAAGTGAACGATTACGATACGTATGATCTTTCTTTAATCAAATTTGAGCATTTGAAAATGTTCGCGTTGGCGCGAATTTTATTTTACAGTTCAAATATTCCGGGTGTTAAGCATTTCAGGAAACTCTCACAAGATGGCCGCGGAGCGTGGTCGTGCACCTGTAATGACAACACGTGCTACAGCTGAGTGGCGGTTTCCCTCTCGGAAAAGTGAGTATAATAGTGTTTTTAAAGTGTTTGTCGCTTTTTCGGGTTTATCTAACGTTTACGTATTGTCGTGCCGATCTTGGGTCTCGATTCGTATTTTCGTATCCCTCGGAATAGCAACGTATTCTATCGAAATATTTCTCTATTTACTCGACGCTCGTACATGTGCCGCCAATGCTACCATAATAAGTTGTAGATCGGTAATTAACCTTGGTACAGAGTCATGTTTATCGATAAGAGACGCTTATCGGGAATAACCTAAAAGTGATAATGTGAAAAATATATCTAATACGTAGGCGGATATTCCTTGTTAAAGTATTGCCGGAGAGGAATCGCAGTTGTGTTTTCAATACTAACCTAACCCTTTGCGTTCGTATGTCGAGACATCGTTAAGTAGCACGCCATAATACGTAAAGCAAATTTTAATACGTGTAATACTGTGCAACGAAGTGTGTTCCTTGGTGTATTTTGTTTTGTGATCATTGTTAATTCGATTGGACGTGTACAATTATTGAAAATTACTTGCTGAACGTGACGGAATTGAATTCAAGGAAGACGTATTCGTATTGATTGCGATCCATGTGTCAATCATACGTATCGTAGCGATATGACAGTGTATCTTGTATTCTATTGTACGAAGTAAATTGGAACAACGTCTACGTTCTTTTATTTTCATTCGTGATATAATAATTACTTTACACGTAAATTTCGAAAATACGATCGATTTATAAACTTTTCGATTCAACGTTATTTTACAAGCTGGTTACGTAAGCATAACTTTAGTGGAGCATAACGGTGAACTGTCAAGTTTTATAATAGAAAACGATAATTGCATCGAAACGTAGAAAATAAATAAATTTTATCGTGCTTCTGTTCACTGTAAATTTGTTAATTTCTGTATTTTCGTAATAAAGTGATAATTTACAACGTGTAATACATCGAAGCAAATAAAATATACGTCGTATTTTCGTGAATGTTAGTTTAAATGTTTCTGTTACATAAATTAGCCATAGAAATTAATAAAATTAGAAAAAAATGTTCACGTGTTGCCAGTATTAATCTTTATTACCATTAATATCGTGCAATTTTCACTAACACGAATATTTTCGTCGTTTCAGGTGAAGGCGAGTGGTGGGGAAGGAATGTGCTGCTTTGATCTCGAAAGGACCTGTAGAGTGAGTACTCTCTAACCTCACATTTTACAATATTCTAATAAACACAAGTGTTAATATCTTCGAAGTGGAAATTCTTTTCTCTCATAATGTGTTAAGTGACTTTTCTACGATTACTGTAATATTAAGAGAACAATTAATTAAGGGAATATTATTAAGAAATAATCAAAGTTAGGAAACGTTAGTTATTCGAATTGAATTTAACTCGAGGATGAGTTCAACTGCAAGAAGAAGTGACGAAAGGGTAGGAATAATTGGTAAACGTGAGATTTATCAATGAAACATGTTTATTAAAAATCTAGTATTTCCTTACGTCTACAGTAAATATCACAGGTACACGTTTCTCTATCACAAGATCCCTCAGCTCGGTCATTTATCCCTGTCGACAATACCAACAGAGGTCAATAATTTTCGCACGATTGTCAAATTGTTACGGCTGACCGAGGAGATACGCATATAACAACGTTTTTTGGCGCGAGAATAGGGCATTCCTCGCGTCGATTCGCGCGCCAAATCGAGCGGCCAATCAGCGCGGGGAGAACCATAGACGCCTGGGGCGCCATTTCTCCCGCCAAAATGGACAAAATAAAAAAGAAAAAATTCTCGATAAAAGTATGAAATAAACAATAGAAAACTCTTAACTGTCAAGTAAATTAAAGCTTGAGCCACGTCGTTTAGCACGTGGGCGTTACGTTACATCGAGATCCTAGTTACTTTTCAACTATTAAAAAACATCATTCGAACAATGAATGTACAAATACGTCCGTAAAACTACGAAAAAAAGAAGAACTTATTTCGATATTCCCTCCCACTTATTAAATTCACTCTGAATGTCTTGAGCAAATAAAAAAATTCTTAAATCTATTCTTCATCATCCTCTTCTTCTTCTTCTTCTTCGATGATCAATGTTTGCACATCATCCAGTCGTTTCAGGGAAAAAAAAGATATATCGATCTTCGTGACGATAGATCTCAGGAAACGTACTCCTCGAAGTGAAATCAGGTTTCTTCTTTCTTCTTCTCCAAGGACGCGTGAGTTATTCGCTCAAATCACAGACAAAATTGCAACACCGGTTTATGGTTCCCCTTTTCACACGATGGAGATTCCTCTCCAAAGGATCCCAAGCCACGGTAATCCTGTCCTTCCTCGTGACCCGACAGAATTCATCCAATTGCTCGATTTTCGTCCGGTTAAACGATGGCCTTTGCTCGCTCAAAATCGTTCTGTATTCACCCAACTACCACGGTCTCCAGATAGGCTCGTTAGGTTTGGCGACCTGCAGCAGACCCTGGTGACTCTGGGACATTCCTTCGATGTCTGTTCTAACCGGCGACGGTTGGCTCGAGGCTGGAGTTAGGGGCATCGAATACTCGTCCGAGCTTAGCTCGCTGCTCGAAGATGGTGAAGATTGTGGTGCTGCCACGTGGATGGTCAGAGGTCCAGTTTTGTCCATGGAATTCAGCTTGTGACCCAAGTGGGTCATCAGTTTCGTTCCCAATGCGACGTCGACGCCTGGAGTGGCGGCTAAGCAACGGCTGACTTCGTTGGCGCAGTGTGTGTAGCCAGCTCTGAAGCGATCAGCGTCGATCACCGGGTTAGCAGAGAGCCTTTGCTGTCTTTGAAGTTTGTGAAGGTGGCGTACAGTCAACTCTAGAATGTCTGCCTTCTCCAACTTCGCGACGTTCTCACCGTCACCAGCTAGGGCTGTTACCATCAGGTCCTTGAGCTCGTCCAAGCATCGATTGATCCGTGCTCGACGTTTGCGTTCTAGCATAGGTTTCATCACCTGTAAATTGAAAGGAACGAATCGTTATAATCACTGTTATTAAATCTATCAGATACGTAGGATCGAAGTGAAACGAAGAATTCACGGCTCGACTACTATCGTCTATCGATTCTATCTGTATTTCGCTTCAGTTTCTGTTAGAATTTCACTCGAAGTACTAGAGTAATGTAACAGGTGGTGGTGAAGTTTCGACGTGATTTAAAGCGACGCTTACCTTTCTGTACTGGTAAGTCCTAGAGATTGGTTGCTCCTGTCCATCGACCATCATGATCTGTTCGTGCATCTGCATGATTAATCCTTTCAGCCGATGAGTCTCTTTTTCTTTCTAGCTATATCACACACCGATAAACGTGAACTTCACTGATTTCTTATTAAACGGTCCCGCTTATCGCGGTGTACATATATATATATATATATGTATATATATCACACTTGTCGTTGAACGTCTCTATGTGTCACACAGGTTAGCGTATAACGATAGAATGTTTGTTTTGTTTGAACTAATGGGTTACGGTGTGGTTCGCTCGGAGAATTCGACTCGGAAAACGTATCGAAAACTGTTGTGTGCTATCTCCAACGCGTCTCCTGTTCGAACTTCGTGAACGATCACCGTGATTGTGGTGGCTGTCGGGCGAGGCTGTAGCTTATATAGTCAAGGACCCTTCGTCAGGGTGGGGCGAGGGGCTGCTGTCAGGGTCCCTAGTGGGGGACAGGCCTTCCGTGGGAACGGTCCGTAGAGGTTGGTTCCCAAGCAAGCACACCACCTGTAAGCGGCAGCTGCCAGACACGCGCCCACACCAAGCCATCGTCACCGTTTCTTCGTCCTCGTTGCACCTATCGTTCGAGCCCGTATTTCCTACCTCCTCTGATCCTCCTCGGGTAGTCGTGCCACGGTATGCACGGCTTATCGTTCCCTCTCTCTTTCACTCCTTGCCTCTTTCGACTTGCTATTTCACGAACGTGCGCTCATACGGAAGGACCCAGTATCGACGTCCTTTCCTCTTCACCGTGCACAACCTACAGAGACGAGCCGTGTGTAAGAGAGAGAGAGAGCGTGTGATACACTCTCCACCGTTCCACCTAGTATATACACTCTTCCTCCTTTTTCCATTCTAGTGACCGAACAGGAGGGTACTCGTACTACGTCTTCTTATCGTGATCATCTCCTCGTCTCTCCTATGTTCCCTCTCTGTAGCTCTGTCCTCGTCTAAGCAGAGCCGGCTCGGAGAAGCGTGCTGGGCACAAGTCCGGCGTTCTCCCAGATCGCAATCCCACTAGTTACACGTTACTGAATTACGGTACGTGTGTCTATGCTAGCGTGCTGCCACCGCGAAACGATACTCCACTCCACTCGCCTCGTCTCACTTCCTCTCTCTCTCTCTCTCACTACTCGTCGCAATTGATCAATCATTTTCAACCGCGCGTATTTAAACGGCCGCCGAGATGCGGAGACAAATGTTGCACGATAAAGCTCGACGGCACGAAAAGGATGTGATGAATCGTTTATTACGGTTGGTCGCGTGGGCGCGAGAGCCTTCACCAACGCGACCACGTTACCGAACACGTTAATTAACCGTCGTTTGTTCCCCGCTTTAAGCTCCGTTTTTACGACGTGTAACCGTTGCTGCGCGACACGCGCCGCGATAGTCCTCGCGAGAAAAAAATAGTTGGCGCGGTTGCAGGAGACGAAGCTGTTGTTCGTTTATACAGGGTGTCCAAATTTGGTTTGGAGAAAACTTCGTCAGTGTGTTCTTTGGGTGTATGTGAGGGAAAAGTGTTATGTAAATGTAGGTCGTTTGAAGCTTCGTTGAGAAGTTGGAGGAATAATACGAAGTACGAAGAGGATTTTTTGTTGTAACTTTTTAACGAAGCTTCCAACGACCTATGTTTATATGACATTTTTTCCTTAATGGCAGTTGTAGAATATACTGGCGAAGTTTGGTCGGAACGAATTTGGACACCCGGTATGTTGAATAATCTAATTTTACCCCATTGGTATTCATATAAGTACATTTTCATTTTTGTAGTAGCTGTTTTCTAGGCAGGCTATTTATGAAATAGTCGAAATTAATGGTAACTAAGTGTATTTCAATTAGATACGAATATTTTACGTATATTTTGCAGGTTATATTCAAAGTTTAGTTCGAATACTTGTTATTTTTAACAAGGCTTTATATCGAGCAAGACTATTGGTGCTGCTTGTCCATAGTAGTGAAAGGTTAATGAAATACTGAATATCATTTACATTTGACGAACGTCAACGTTACGAGTTGAAACGAAAGTTTGAATTAGAATGAATTAATACAGGGTGGAGCAGAAATACTTGTCGGTTTTCAAAGTGAAAATTCGCTGTTATCTTAAATTTTCTTTCGATCATAATCTGTGTCGCGAGTCCGGTATTTCGTTTGAAGACAAGGGGTTAAGAACTAAGCGAAATGCGCGTTCACCCGTTGTTTCATTGACTGTTAATTACCCAAACTAATTGAATCGCCAACGAGGAATTTTATAAGCGTACGAACAGATATCATGGTTAATTGGGATTCGTTCATTCGAGAAGCAATAAGCACCTTGTAAAATGGCTCTCTCCATCCATTAAAGGTCACTTTATCACCCTGTTAAACGTCTTTTTAAGCTTCCACAGGGTGTTCGTGAAATCAGATTTATATTTACACCGTGTTAATAGATTGTACGAGAAGTACCTATCTCTCTAATCTTACTTTTCGTTCTCACGTCGATATCATCGAAGTGTGGAAAAATTGCCCGAAAAATATACACGGACTTTCTTCTTCCCGGAATACTTCGGGCAAGAAGTTTATGCGTGTTCGAATTTCAGCGTGTCCCGCGATTACACGCGATCGGGTACAAGTGATTTTTTCATGCGTTCGCATATCAATGGAGAAGATCGTTCGATTTACAGCGTTATAACGTTTACGGAGCTGCCGAGTGAAAAAGGATCGCCGTGTGGAATTTTTCAGTTTGGCCAATTGATCGACGTCGAAAATTGCTCGAAAGTAGCCTTCGGGAAGGATTGGACCGGGTTCCGAGGTTTAATTTCACGAAAGACGCTCGTAAAATCGTCCTTCGCTTCGGATAGTCATCGTCCGGAATGAATATCCCGGCATGCTTTACGTGTACATCCTGCCGGCTCGCTGGAAGCACTTCCAGATACTAATTTCGTCGAGGCTTTTGCTGAATTATATCCTTCGTACCCCCTTCCAATTTCTCTCTATCCTTCTCGGTTTGCGTGGCCATATTTTCCTCCTCCTCCTCTTCTTCTTCTCCTTCTACGTCATTTTTTCTTCTTCTCTTTTCTGTCCTGTCTTTTTCCCTCCACACGGTTTCTTCGTTGCCAACTACCTCGCTTATTTCTCCGCGAGTGGGGCACTTAAACATCGTTCGCACCGAATAATTACGCGTCTTAGCTTCGTCCTTCTTCCACAGTGCTAGTTCTCGTTCATCCGACCACCTTCTTCTTGCTACTGTGATTTTACGAGGCGTCCTTCCTTTTCTTCTTCGTCGTCGTCGTTGTTGTCGTTGTCTTCGTATCTTGGTTGTCTTCCTTTCTTGGCTTCCTCTTCTTTTTCGCTGCTGCACAGAGCTAGTCAATTGCACGTGTACCTAACAACGTAGTCGAACTTGCACGATGTAGAGATAACGCGACGCTTAATAGGTAGGCTTCTTTATCTTGACGGGGTGAGTGTCGCGTGGGCCATCGGTGGGGCACGCGTTCAGTGTTCTGTTCCGAGTGAAATTAGGAAAAAATTGGGGAGAAAATTTTTGGGTTGTTTAACACGTTGAGTGTCGTGCGGGTCATCGGTGACCCATATTAGACTCTGTTCCAAGTGAAATTAGGAAAAAATTGTAGAGAGAAGTTTCGGGTTGTTTCACACATGGTGTGTCCCATGGGCCATCGGTGGGCCACGTGGAGTGTCCCATGGATCATCGGTGCGTCACGACCAGTGTCGCACGGGTCATTGATGACCCATATTAGACTCTGTTCCAAGTGAAATTAGGAAAAAGTTTTGCGATGTTTAACACATGAAGTGTCCCACGGGCCATCGATGGCCCACGTCGAGTGCCGCGTGGGTCATCGGTAACCCACGTCAGACTCTACTCCAAGTAAAATTCTAAAAAAATCGTAGAAAAAAATTTTGCGCTGTGTAACACGTGGAGTGTCTCGTGGGCCATCG